CTCTATGGTGACTGACTAGCTGAGGTGGGGCCAGGGGCTGGGGGTGGGGGATGGTACCCACTGACCTTACCTGGGGCTTCTCTTCTTCTGCAAGATGGTATCTAAACAGAGAGAATAGAGCATTAGCAAGGAGGGCCTGTGATTCCTCAGCCCAGCTGGCATGTGTTGGGGTCAAAGTCAGCCCAGTGGAGGAGCTCTAGGGTGGGCCACTCACTGGGAAGTGGTTCAGGGCACATCTTAGTGCTGTTGGGACCTCCCTGTCCATGGCTGGTTCCTGAACCCCTTGGCTGGTACACAGGTGTGACCGAGTGTCCCCCATACTGCCCAGGGCCCACATCCCCTCTGCTTGCAGCCTAAATCTCCTAAAGGAGCTGACATTCTCAGGAGAGTGAAGGTCAGGGACTGGAGGATGGAGAGACAACAAGGGAAACAAAATGAAAGCCAAGCCAATGTTTGTGACCAGTGATGCCCTTTTCCAGAAGTTCCTTTACGGCCCACATCACCCTTCCCATGTATCTTTACAGGTCATGTTATATTTTCAAAAAGAAGAGAGCCTCCTTCCTCCTTGTCCTCAGATCCACCCCACAGAAAATTACACCATCATCATCTTCATTGTCTCAGGGTCACAGACTCACACGAGCCCAGCCACATCTGGATCACAGGCAACCACTCTGCCCTGCCCTGGGTGTAACCTGCCCATCAACCAGCTGAGCTCAGAACCACCTCAGGGCTTCCTCGGATCGATTTTATCTGATTATATCCATGGGACGAGAAACCAGAAGTCCTGCTTGAAACTAACGTCAGTGCTTCACATCTTTCTCCAGAAAGCTTAATTCCCAGAACACCAAAAGGGACTGAACAGAGAAGTGCATGGTGACAGAGAGATAGGCCGGGAGACACAGCAGGAAGACAGACACGGAGATGCCCCATTTACTCTCTGTGGGAGTCCCTGGGCTGGGGGCTTGTGGGCTTGCTCTGTCTCTGCCATGGAGTTTCCCCCAATGCTTCACATTAAGTGGCTTCACGGGGCACCATCTGCTATAGCTCAGGTCTAGAATGTTCTCCAAAGGCCCATGTGTTAAAGGCTTATTCCCCAGCCCATGGTGCTATTGGGAAGCAGGACAACCTTTAAAAGGTAGAACCTACTGGGAGACCTTAGCTCTTGGGGGCATGTCCTTGAGGGGAGTTGTAGATTCCCAGTGTCTTCTCTCTAAGAGGAGCCAGCTTCCTCCTCCACACACTCATGGTATGTCATATCACCACAAGCCCCAAACCAAGAAGACCAATAGAGCGTGGGCCAAAATCCCAAACTGTGAGCCCCAAACCCTTTCATCTCTTTAAGTTGGTTGCCTTGGGTATTTTGTCACAGTAACACAAAAGACCAACAGACAGTCCTTCCTTCTGCAGAGCAGTGCAGGTTCTGTTTGTCATGGGTCCCTTACCCTGGGGTGTGTTCTTCAGGTCTGCAGAGTCATTATCAGACAAATGTCTCCGGATCATCCAGATCTTCAGGGCAAGGAAACCTGCAGATATGGCTACTCCCAAGGCCGTACCAATGATGGCGTATTTGAAATCTGAAGCACAGGGAAGAACTGAACTCAAGATTCAGCTGCCAGCCTCCAGGGGCCTTCCATGGCTCTGCATGAAGTTCAAGCTCATGTTCCTGGACCTTAACATCCCAGTGTCAACCTGCTTTGCTAGCCTTGTTTTCCACTCTCCGTTCCCAGCCCTTCCCGTATCCCCAGAGCCTCATCCCTGGTCTCTTCAGCTCTCAGAACTGTTCCCATCTTTAAGGGTCATTCAAGTTCAGCAAGACCTGGCCACCCCAGCTCTGGTGGTAGGCAGCTTGTTCCTTCTGGCTTCCTGCCATCCTACCTCACTTACCCCTGAATTCACTCATTGACTCGTCCATCAAGGATATGAACATTGTTGCTATGTGGTGAGCCTACAAGCTAATAGGGAAGGACCTGCACTGTCTTAGAGGAGCCTCGAGTCTGCTGAGAAAGTCAGGCAAAGGGCTCACACTAACGTCACATGACAGGTAGTTTGGATTGGTGTGGGAGCCGTGGGGCCGAGGGCCTTCTTAGAGGAGATGATGTGTGGATTGCTCCTTGCTAGTAAAGGCAAGCCTCAATGTGGGGAGGACAGGGACTGTGGGAAGGGGGCCGATGAGTAGGTGAGGACCAGGGAGAATGGCAGAGTCTACTGTAGAAGGTCCATAGATACAGGACAAGGCACTGGGGGAGCTAAGAATGCTGATCAGAGACAGTCAACACACAGAGGTGGCCTGATGGCTTGGGTCCCCAGATTAAAGCATTTCAGCCACTAAGTGGGCCTGTGGGCAAGATGTGTACTGGCTATCAAGAACAAACACCAGCATCTACCTGCATTCTTTGTAGGGTCTCGCCCCGACTCTGTTTACAGAACAAGCAGGGAGGCCACCTACCAATTGCAGCCTCAGCAGACTTGTCCATTGCTAGCACTTGAGCTCCTTCAACACCTGCAAAGAAAGAATCCCAAGCCTCGTTAGAAACCCACAGCCATGGCCGGGGAATTCCTCAGTGTGAGAGCAATTGCTACACAAGCATGAGAACCCAAGTTCAATCCTCAGCACCTACACTTTAAAAGGGAGGGGAGGCATGGTCACACATATGCCTATAACCAGTGTTGTAGTAGTAGGTCAGAGACAGAATGGCTACTGGGGCTTACTGGCTACCAGCACAGCTCTAGGGTCAGTAAGAAACCCCGTGTGGTGGTTTGAAAGAAAATGGACCCCAAAGGGAATGGCACTGTTAGGTGTGGCCTTGTTGGAGTAAGTGTGGTCTTGTTGAAGGAAGTGTGTCACTGTGGGGGTGGTCTCCTATGCTCAAGCTATGCCCAGTGTCATAGTTCACTTCCTGTGGCCTGAAGATCAAGATGTAGAACTCTCAGCTCCTTCTCCAGCACCACATCTGCTGCATGCTGCCATGTCCTACCATGATGATAATGAACTCTACCTCTGAAACTGTAAGCTAGCCCCACTTAAATATTTTCCTTTATAAGAGTTGCCCTGGTCATGGTGTCTCTTCACAGCAATAGAAACCCTAACTAAGACACCCTGTCTCAAGGAAGCAGGCAAAGAGTGATAGAATAAATGCACCCAATGTCCTCTTCTGGCCTTCACATAAATATGCACAAGTGCATGCATGCACACCCCCAGAGTGCACACGAGTGCACACATGCGCGCGCACACACATATACATCACACACACTAAAAATAACAAAAAGAAGCCCCCTACTGGTGGGGACAGAGGGCAGAGCTCCAGCTGGGAGGTTGTTGGCAAACAATTCCTCTTCATCTGTCTCCCCTTGACTACCACCCTCAAGAACTCAGTGGGTTTCTGGCTGCCACAGAGTCTCAAGGCCTTACTGAGATGCTCAAGTTTTACCCCAAAGCCGAGTTGAGGAATAAGATCCTGCTGGGCTCAGCACATTGTTCCTAAGCAGTTTCTAAGACCCCTATGCTGACCCCAGCCTACATCCTGGTCACTCTCACCACCCCTTGTAGTCTACCCAGGCGTCTTCTGCCATTGGGCCTCTCCCTCTGTCTGGTCCCTGCCGCTCCCCTCTCTGCTCTATGTTATTTCTTCCCTGGCTCCCCACACCCAGGTGAGCTGCCCCATCTGGGACCTCAACAGCCCTGTGCTTCCTCAACCTAGAAGTGACTAAGTCACTAACTACTAACTCAACGTTTACATACTGATGCTGTGCATTGGGTACCATGCTAGTAGCTTCTCAGCTAGTTATCGGAATGTATCTAGGTGATCTCCCACTGTCTGCACAGGAGTGTCCAGCATTTGACACAGCATCCAACACGTAGGAAGTATCCACAGATGTCGATGAATGAATGAATGAATGATAGAGACGGTAAAGTAAGGCCACCATGCAGAGATGCCTCATGAGTCTGGCGATTCCAGCCAGGACTTGGAGACCCCATTCAGTAGCAAACTGGTGGTCCCACAAACAGGCTACATAAGACTGTGGGCCTTGGAGAAGGCGGTCAATCCTCAGTCACTTATTCTGAGACAAATGTGTGCAGTCCAGTTGGTCATATAGTTAATACAGCAATCACTCTGTGACATGGGCCCTGTGCTTATCACAGTTTGATGAATGGGGAGCCAAAAATACTGAGGACTTAAAAATGTGCCCAAAGACCAAGAAAAGCAGAAAGAGGCAGGGCTGCCCTGGGAGCCCAGAAGCCATGTACCATATCTGCAGGAAATATAATCCAAGACTCCCTCCCCATGGGCACCTGAAACCACAGAGTCCCAAACTCTACATGCACCTTCTCTCCTACATATATACCTAGATAAAAAAATATTTACAATAATAGCCAATAATAAAGTAGGATGATCATGATGACATACTATAGAAAGTTATTTAGAATGTATGAAGTGTTCATTTCAGGAATTTTCCCGTTAAGCTTTTCAGATTGTGATAGACTGCAGATGATTGAAACTCCAGTAGATAAAACCAATGACAATGGGGGACATAATTCCATCCAGGCCAATGACCAAGCGGGCCTCAGCCTCAGCTCATGCACCTCAATGGGTCTCCCATGGGCGAGAGCAGGTGGCCTGGGCCCTTCCCACCTGAGCTCCCAGGAGGTTGACTCCTGGACCTCAACTCCCTAGGGGTGGAAGGGACAGAGACTCCGCTTGCCCAATCAGCAAAGACCTTTTCCATTCACCCGTGACCACTGACCACCCTCAGTGACCTCAGCACAATGTATGAAGCCAGAACTACAGAAAGGACAAAGGTGTTCTCTGTTTAGTGGGAAAGAGAATCATCACAACAGACCAGGATTTATTTTGAAAGATTGGCTTCACTTTTAATTGTATGTATAGGTGTGTGTCTGTGTGGGGGCACACGCATATGTGAGGGCATAGGGCTAAGGAGTCCAGTAGAAGGTGTCAGATCTCCTGTAGTGGGAGGTGGGGGGGGGGGTGGTACACGCATTAGTGAGCTGTCTGGCTTGGGTGCTGAGAACTCAACTCGGGTCCTCTGGAAGAGCAGGGAGTGATATTGACCAGTGAGCTTCTCCCCAGCTCCTAGGTTTGAAGTTGTATCTCACCCACTGGATGGGTGAACGAAGCCTGGGGATTTTGAAGCAAAAGCTCACAGCCTTGTTCTGACCACAGCTCCTTTTGGAGACAGATAAAGGTCTCTTTTCTACAGAATTCAAGCTTACACACACACACACACACACACACACACACACACACACACACCTGTGCATACACATACCACTGCATATAATGACCTTGATTTTCTCTGTGAGATGAAGCCCCCAATAAACTCTACTGCATGAACGTTTCCTTAAATTAACCTGGTAACTTGAACCACTTACAGACCTGTAAAAGACCTAGAACTGTACTGAAGGACTGTGGTCAAGAGAAGGATTTCAGGCAGATGCTCTGGCCTCAGAGCTACTGTGCTCTGTGTTCACATTGAGCCACACCCTCTGCAGACAGAAAGGCCTCTTTCTGTCTGTACTGGACAGAAGGTAGGAGCCAGGGAGGGCATCCTCTAGGGAGGCCAGGCCTCTAGGGGTCAGCCTGCCTTTGCTGCCCAATCATCGACTTCCTGGTTTCCATCTTTGGGTCTTCCCTTTGGTGACTGTAGCTTTTGCTGCAAGCATTTGTTGTGAATACTTTACACCAGACTCAGATGAAACTGACAAGGAAATAAGGACACACTTGAGAAAGCCAGATGCAGAGCCAACAGCCACAGCCACAGGCTGCAACAGGGCAGCTCAGACCACTGGGGAAGAGTGAAGAGATGACGGAGGGAAGCCCCAGTGCCAGAGCCCCAAGCCCTGCCCAGGCACCCCAGACAGCAGCCTGGTCCTGCCCTCTCCAGCTCTCATCCCAGTCAGCAGTACTGTCCAGGGTCACATTGTCCTGAACACTGGGCTCCTTCTGTGTAGCACGAATTGTTAGAAGGTCTTATTAATAAAAACAAACCGGAGCCAGGTATTGGAGTGAATGCTGGAAGATCAGAGAAGCAGAACAAGCCACAGCCACCTCACTTGGCCAATTTCTCAGCTGATCCTGTTTCCTCAGACTGGAAGCCTCTGAGTCCTCATCCAAGTGGATCTCAGCTGAACTGCTGCTCAAAAGCCTAAAAGCTTAACCGGCTCTAGCTCCTGTTCCTCACGCCTTATATATCTTTCTGCTTCCTGCCATCACTTCCTGGGATTAAAGGTGTGTGTCACCATGCCTGGCTGTTTCCAGTGTGGCTTTGAACTCACAGAAATCTGGATGGGTCTCTGCCTCCAGAAGGCTAGGATTAAAGGTGTATGTGCTACCATTTTCTGGCCTCTATATCTAGTGGCTGTTCTGTTCTCTGACCCCAGATAAGTTTATTAGGGTACACAATATATTGGGGGACACAATATATCACATTTCCCCTATTTTGTCTAAAATAATAAAAGGTTACAGTCAAGAATTACATTAACAATGTCTAGTCCATTATCATTTGACAGATTCAGACAAAAAACCCCTCTATTATATACATTAACAACGTCCAGTCCATTATCATTTGACAAATTCAGATAACAATTTTCATTACTTATCCTATTTAAAAAAAGTAGTTCCTTTTTAAAAGTAGATTCAATAATCTCCCTTTTTATCTTATCATATCCATATTCTTTTTTGAGTAGTTCTAAAAATCTACTGTTTATCTTATCTTTTTATTTTATTTTATTTTATTTTACAATACAATTCAGTTCTACATATCAGCCACGGATTCCCTTGTTCTCCCGCCCCCTCTCCTTCCCCCCCAGCCCACCCCCCATTCCCACCTCCTCCAGGGCAAAGCCTCCCCCGAGGACTGAGATCAACCTGGTAGACTCAGTCCAGGTAGGTCTAGTCACCTCCTCCCAGGCCGAACCAAGCGATCCTGCATAGGCCCCAGGTTTCAAACAGCCAACTCATGCAATGAGCACAGGACCTGGTCCCACTGCCTGGATGTCTCTCAAACAGATCAAGCCAATCAACTGTCTCACCCATTCAGAGGGCCTGATCCAGTTGGGGACCCCTCAGCCATTGGTTCATAGTTCATGTGTTTCCATTCATTTGGCTATTTGTCCCTGTGCTTTATCCAACCTTGGTCTCAACAATTCTCGCTCATATAAACCCTCCTCATTCTCGCTAATTGGACTCCCAGAGATCCACCCGGGGCCTAGCCATGGATCTCTGCATCCAAATCCCTCAGTCATTGGATGAGGTTTCTAGCACGACAGTTAGGGTGTTTGGCCATCCCATCACCAGAGTAGGTCTATCTTATCATTTCTATATCTTCCCTTTTTTTCAGAGTAGATTCAATGATCTACTTTTCTGTTTCTTTTTTCTTTTTCTTTTTTTAAACAAGAACCCTGTATCTAATCTCCTTTGTTTAGCTTTTTTTTTTACCATTAACAATTAACAACTTGTAACCAACCATCATAAACAATAGCAA